AGTGAGAAAAGTATTCCCTTCCCTTCCCTCCCCGCTTCCCTCTCTCCCTTGCTACTTTCCTTCCTTCCTTCCTCTGTATCTCCTATCCCCGCTTTCATTCTCCTTGCCCCCATAGGCAGTCATTATCTCCTGTATTTTTGTTTGCATGAGCTCTTATATCATATGCATTTTCTGCTTTGTGTCCAAGAATTTTAGTGGGTATAAATGGCATGGTGTTATCAATCTCATTCCATTTCTTATTTTTATCACTAAGCATATGTTTTTAGATCTAGTCATGTCATTATGGATGCAGATACCTAATAGTTTGCTTTTAATCACCGTAACAGTCCATGGTGGGCAGTGCTCCATTTTACCTACCCATTCTCCAGTTGGATGCCCCAGTGGCCTCCAGTTCTCACCCTCCACCAAAAACTGCTTCAGTGTATACTCATGGACATCATCCTAAATGATGATGAATGAGAGCTTAAGGAGAGAATTTCTTTCTTTTTTTTTTTTTTAAAGATTTTATTTATTTACTTGAGAGAGAGAATGAGATAGAGCATGAGAGGGGGGAGGGTCAGAGGGAGAAGCAGACTCCCTGCTGAGCAGGGAGCCCAATGCGAGACTCGATCCCAGGACTCCAGGATCATGACCTGAGCCGAAGGCAGTCGCTTAACCAACTGAGCCACCCAGGAGCCCAAGGAGAGAATTTCTTGAGGATATAATTCCCAGCAGAAGAATTTCGTGGTCGTGATATATAGTGTAATTATTTTATTGTCCTGAATTATTCACCAGAATTGCTATACCAGTCTGCAGTCCCACCAGCAATATGTGATGGTTTTTACCTTTCTAAATCCCTATGACATTTGAAGTGATTTTGTATTTTTCTAATTTTTGCCAGTGTTCTTTTTGTAAGAAATTGAGTCTTTTCATTGAAATGAATAGCTTTGGGGCGCCTGGGTGGCTCAGTCGGTTAAGCGTCTGCCTTCAGCTCAGGTCATGATCCCAGGGACCTGGGATCGGACCCATATCAGGCTCCCTGCTCGGCGGGGAGCCTGCTTCTCCTTCTCCCTCTGCCGTTCCTCCTGCTTGTATTCTCTGGCTCTATCTCTTTGTCAAATAAATAAAGAAAATCTTAAAAAAAAAAAAAAGAAATGAATAGCTTCTTGATTTCAATGGCAAAATTAATAGCTCTATTGAGAGACATATAATTTTTCAGCATATTTTATTCATCTGAATTTCAAATATTACCCATAAAATAGGCTTCCAGTTGCTCTGATGGTAAGAAAACATTTTGAAGGTCATCATTAAGATGTGAGTAGGCCTCCCCTGACCCAACACCTGACTCCATCATATCCCTCTTCTTCACATTATGCTCCTTCTGGTGAAATGCTAGTTACCTATCAAAGCCTGGTATAAAATGGACACCCTGCTCTGTGCCATTGAAGTGATTGAACCCTATTCTAATTATAGCCATTATCACAGGTCATTAGAGTTTGTTTTCTACTTTTCTGTGCACGTAAGTAGCACATGAACTTGGTCATGTAGGACATCTTTGTACATCTACCATCCAGTGCCACACTGCTAATTCAACTGAGTTGTTGTTTATTGTTTCCTGAATGTTAAGAGATAGTCATTTATGCCTTTAATATTTCCATTTTATCTACCTATAGCAATAGTTTCTGGTTCTGAAAAATTTTTAGATTAAAACCATCCTTTCCATGTTCTAAGATGTAAAACATTGGCATTTTAGCACAGCTTTGATTTAAGGGCCGGATCAGTTTCAAAATTGCTCCCTGAAAAGAATCCTGGCTTTGCCCGAAAATGCTTGTGATCTCAGGACAATGAAATAATTACACTATATATCACATATAAGCACCACAATGCTAAGGTGGGGTAACCTTCCAGCCTTGTAAGAATGCTGGTTAGGATCCTCCGTTTTCTCAGTGAATTGGTACCTCACCCCGTTGGGCTGGCTTTCAAGTGTGTCCGCTGTCTTTTAGCAGTGTAGATAGAATACAGCTCCAGGTTCTTGCTAAGAAAACACTAACCTGGGACTGATAGACTGTGCTGACCAAAAAGCCGTATTGAGGAAAGTTGTATATAAAGAAGATAATTTGAGAAAAACATTTTTTTCCGGTCTGTGAAGTCATTTGTGATTCTTGTCATCCTCTGGAAATGCTGGGCCTGTTACCTTATCCGTAATTGAAGGAAATGAACTAAATAATGTCCACGTCCCTGCAGTTCTGTGATACGATACTATACCAGTTAGTCTCTATGGGAAGAACCAGCTGTGTACCAAGTGAACCTGGGGGACTCAGGACTTCCCTTGTTTCCTCAGGATCTGTCTCCGTGACTTGAAGACCCTCATGTCTGTAAAGTCACCAGCGCTTTCATGTTCTTCCCATGACCAGGTCAGCTGGTTCCCAGTTGCACACATTTATTCTTTTCCGTTAGCCTCAGGACCTGATTTTGCTTCCTCTTCTTCTCTAAAGCTTCCCCCGCATCCATACTTTTCTTATGGTCCCCGTATCCTTGAGTAATGGCGACAGAGTGGGGTGTGTAGCTTCTACAGCGGTACCTGACCACAAATCTTACGGCCTGGGTCAGTTTAAAAGTTATATTGCTGGGGCACCTGGATGGCTCAGTTGGTTAAGCGACTGCCTTCAGCTCAGGTCATGATCCTGGAGTCCCGGGATCAAGGCCCACATCGGGCTCCCTGCTCAGCGGAGAGTCTGCTTCTCCCTCTCCTGATCCCCCCTCTTGTGTGCTCTCTCTCTCTCTCATTCTCTCTCTCAAATAATAAATAAAATCTTTTTAAAAAAAATTAAAAAAAAATAAAAGTTATATTGCTGATCCCAGTGGGAACCAGAACTGAGGAGATCACTCAGTGTCTTCATAACTGAAGCATAATGATAGTGACAGAGTGCCTATGAAGAATAGGTTAATGTCCAAAAAGTCCCTGGCAGAGGGCTTGGCACATAGTAGGGGCTGCCAATCAGTACCCTGTCAGACAAGTGGAGCCTCTCAGTTTTGATAGGAAACTTCAGGGTTTTAATCCCATAGTAAGAATATTCCCAAATGTCTTCACTTTAGTCAAAGCCCACGTGAGCAGCTCGTCTGCTGCTGCTGTAATACATCCAAGAAGAAATATTTTTCTTACTTTAGTGTAGGTTTGCTTCCTGGGATGCGGTGGGAAGATACCGCAGAAGTTCATTCTGGGAAACAAAGATGACCTCTTTCGTGAGGCCTGTGGGGTGTCTTTGGTGCCATTCCCACAGTGCATGTCCAGTCTCAGTGCTGTGATGAGCAGATACAACCTGGAATGAATATTATACATGACTTGAAGTGCTTATTTTCCCATGTGTATTTCTCTTCTATGAAAACAGATAAGTGAATGAAATACCATTTTATTGTAAATTACTAGTTGCTGCTAATAAGCTAGTTAAAATATTTTTTACTTCTTCAAACATTCTTTTTGTTCAGGCATATATTCCAAATGAGAAATTAATGTTAAAAGCATATGAGTGTAAGCAAAATAAAAGCTTGCCTTTTTAATTAGAGCAAATAGGCAACTGCTACTCAGAGCTCCTAAAGTCATGTAATCTCATTGTAATGCTAAAATCTTCTCCAGCTATCTTCATGCTATGGCATTTTAGACAACCTTAATTTTGTAAAGGGTTGCATCTAAAGTCAACATAATGCTAAAGGTTTCAATATGCCTCTTGGTTTTCATGCACAAATACCTGACTTCTTTTGAGAAAAAACAAAATCTGACTTAGCTTGGAATTCCAAGTTGCAATGAGAAAAAAATCTCCATTTAACCTTCTGCTCTTATTATGTTAAGGCTATGACTCATCTCCAAACAAACGTATGATTGAGGTGATGTTTTGGAATAACATCCTGTGTTTTGGTGGCGCATCACTCTTCAGTGACATTCTGAGGTTGCATTGTATTAGCACATGATATTTTCCCCAGTTAATTGATATCCCAGGTTTGTCCAGGGGAAAATCTACAGCTCCCCCAAACATGCTTGACAAGTTATTATATTTACTTTAGTCAAAGCCCGTGTGTGCAATATCCCTCTTGGAGGTGGTCTATTATTGGAGTCCCATATGCTTTTTGTTTGGGAAGAAAGCAGTCACTGTGTCATACTGTTACATGGAGTATTCTTTTTCAGGGATGTTGTTCCCTTGGGGACCATATCAGGCCAGAGTTCCTTAGTCTAATAAGACCTTTGTAACTCTTATTGTATAAGAGTTCTGGGAGGGAAGCAAGAGTTAAACAGAAAATGTAATTCAAGCAACCATATTAGGCCACATGTGGGAAAACATGACTCTTAGTATTGGATTAAGAAAAGGTATTTGTTGTAAAAATGACTGTGATGCCGAAACATTCAAGGTATTTTCAGGATAAATGAGGCCCTATTGTGGCACAGGGAACTCGTAACATTTTAGCATTTAGCTTAGCTTCTGAATATGAATGATCTAAACATGCACCACACAGAGTTGTCTATTCATATATTTTATATTAAAAAAATACTGTTAATCACCTATATGGTGTTATCTAATCTAAGATTTTCTTGTGTGAGTTTTCCCATCAGTAAAATGATGTTTAATCCATATAAAGATAATGATTATAGTGGTATTACATACATATTCATCACTCAGTAATACAAAAATATAACCTTAAGAATTAGTCACTTTAATCATTGTACTTTACCAACTGATGACACACACATGGATTATGGTCGATAAAGGTAGAATTTTTTAAAAGAATTTTGTAAGCTGAACATAGAAGCCCTTTCCTCAGATTCTGTGATTATGTCTAATGAACAAAATTTTAATGTAATTTTCACATACAACTTTTGGATACAGAAATTATAAAATAAATAGTTAAAATACTTGACTATTTTGACTAATTATGATAATATAAAATCTATTTTCTGAAATGTGAACATTTTACAGTAAATTTTATGACATAATAATGTTTTGGGACTTTTTCATTTTTTTTTTTAATAGCAAATGGTGTCCCAGCAACGCATTCTAATTCATGAAGATTCCATGAACCTGCTCAGTCTTTATACCTCTCCCTCTTTGCCCAACATAACCTTGGGGCTTCCGGCGGTGCCCACGCAGCTCAACGTAAGTCATTACACAGCAGCCCAGTGATATTTTTGGGGGGGTCTCTCTTTCATTTCTTATATATTTAGACTTCAGGGAAACTTGGTAGTTTGCTTCTCCTAAAATTCACTCACTTCACTCTGAGTTTTGCAGAGACGTTCAGTTTGATTTCAAATTAAAGAATTATACTGGTTCACAGTATATAATTTATATAAAAATAATAACTAACATTTATATGATGTTTTAAAGCTTTTAAAAAAGAAAGCACTCTCCAGATATATTATTTTAGTAGCTCCACACAGCCGTCCCACGAAACAGAGAGTACAGGCCACATTTTTACCGAAGAAGCAGCTGAGACTTGGGATATTTAAAAGCCCAAGATCACAGAACCATTAGGTAGCAGTCTTAGGACTCAACCCAGGCCAGTGTTGAGAGGCAAAGCTTCCAAAGCACAGCAGCATATGTTTATAGAATTTATTTTGTGAATGACTTTATTTTCGGAATTTAAGTTACTGACTCTGTGGTACTAAGGAATACATATCTGGAAAACCTCTCTAAGAGCAATATTAAATTCTTCCCCGGAGGTTCAGAGTGAATCAATTACTTTAAAAGTCCTGACATCTGAAATAGGATCTCTGGGAGGTAATTGTCCTACTAGCAGAAGATAGCAATAGTTATTTTATACATATTCCCCAAAATAATATAAATTTTAGTCATTGTAAAAGATTTGTAAGCTTTACCTGGAAAAATTCATCTGGGAACTGTGAGTAAATTAAGTTGTACTTATGCAGAGGTCATGTGATACATTGGGTTTAAAGAGAAATTTATTTCAACCCTTGGCACCTGTTTTGTCAAACTTCAGCAGGACATCTTCCATGGAGTCCAGCTTGTCAAATTCACATCTTTTACAATATGCCCACACCAGAAAATTTTTAAAGAGTTGACCATTTTGTGCCTCATTGATTTTCAGAATTTAAGCCCTGTGTATGGTGGGCTAATTTATGCACAAGCATACCTATACTGACATTATTAAATGGTAGATTTTGTAATTGGGTTCAATCCATATTATACAATCAATCTAAGAGCTGTCTGGTTATATTTGGTATTTTTTATAGAGTGGAATGTTATCTTACATGATACAGTAATCTTATACCAGTGAGGAAAAAGAAGAATTTGGATGTTGTTTTGTATCTGGAATTGAAGAAGAAAGGCTTAAAAATACTGATTTCATTTACCCCCTTGAAATTCCACATGAAGCATTTATAAACTGTTGGTTCTAGTGAAAAGAAAAAAAAAGGAATTAGGGATGAAACTGAACATAAATATACATGGGTGATATTTTCACATCTCCACTTATTAAAAATTATTTTTCTTCTGTTCCTCTGTTTCCTATTCTGATGATGATAAGCAAATAGTAACACAAAAGCTTCTTATGACACATGTGTAGGCATTTTATTTCCACTCTTTTTTGCATGTTCTAAGTCATTCCTACCAGCTAACACAAACATACACCACTTTTAATGTGGTCAGAGAGAATTTTTTCCCAAAGGACCAAGTACTAACGCCAGACCATTTAATGTTTCAATGGTAATACAATTTTGGTACCGTTGGATGAATAAACCAATGTGGTTTGGATTGAAGTTTCATTTTTCTTTGCTTCCATTTTGGTGTGGATGAGGCCATCACAATTAATTTTTCAAGCTTAGCATTGCTTTGGCAAAGGGATCTCTAATATTCCATTTCCCTACTGAATAGTGGGAAATTTTAAGGAAAAGAGGCCAGGAGAAGGAATCTCACTTCTAGATTAAACATTGCGTTGACTTGCCATGTGACTAAGACAAACCATTTACCTCTTTGTCCTTCAATTTCTCCATCACTGAAAATTGCTTTGCTTCCCTGGTGCACAGCAATTTTGAAAGATGAAACATGAGTTTTGAAAAGAAACATGCCACATAATTTTGAGGTATTAGACTTCTGCTTTTGTGATACCAAAATGACCTCCATTCATTAAATTCTTTGAATAGGATAATTCATTATTACTATTGATGATATAATTATTATTACCTTATTACTGTGTTATCATACATTTCAAGTTCTTAATAGCATTTTTATTTGATCTAATTTCACTTGTTTATTTTATTAAACAAAAGTATCTGAAGTGTCATTTTCAATATTTAGAGATTTGGGGATCTGTTATGAATTAATACAAAATACATGTTTAAATCAAAGTCCTGCATGTTTTATACAACCTTTCATTGAGTTGGCTGAAGAATTTTATTTTAAGAATTAAATATTGGAACCCTACAGCTCTGTGCGCTTATTAGAGGACATTAGAGGAATTGCTCCTTCTGCTTGAAACTCCAAAATTCAAGACCGTTTTATCTCCAGCTTCATCACTGCTATGACAGAGTCATTAGTTTAGCAATTTGAATCGATTTTACATTTCCAGTATACCTTTTTACTTAAACAGTATACTAAAATATTTTTTAAATAAACTTCCCAGTTATTAAGCCTGAAATTAGCTTTATTTTCAATGTGAAAAAAATCCTTATGTTCAGTCCAGTGGTACTCAATACTAACTTGTCTCCAGTGCTTCAACCCTGTTTTTATTTCTCGTCTGTTAATACGGTTAGTTTAAAAAGACACACTGTTGGGCCAAAGAGGTGAAGGCGATTAAGAGGTACAAACTTCCACTTGTAAAATAAATAAGTCACAGGGATGAAAACTACAGCATAGGGGAATGTGGTCAGTAGGATTGTAATCAGTTCATCTGGCGACAGATGGTGACCGCACTCATCACGGTGAGCGCGTCTAGTGTATACGGATGTTGAATCACTATGTTGTACACCTGAAATGCGTGTAATATTGTATGTCAACTACACTTCAATTTAAAAAAATAAAACTAGGAGAAAAAAAAAAGACATGCCTTTGTACATTTTCCCTACTCAGCCATCAGTCAGATGGGTTTTCTTTTGGGTGGAGGAAGGGAGAATTACGGAATAAGAAACTCCGCTAATGGTGTACAGACCTAATGGATGAAAGAGGATTACCATCTTTATTATTTCTTGACACAGGCTTCGAATTCACTCAAAGAAAAACAGAAGTGTGAGACCCAGACGCTCCGACAAGGCGTCCCTCTGCCTGGGCAGTACACGGGCAGCATCCCAGCATCTTCAAGCCATCCCCATGTGGCTTTAGAGGGAAAGCCCAACAGCAGCCACCAGGCGCTCCTGCAGCATCTATTATTGAAAGAACAAATGCGACAGCAGAAGCTTCTTGTGGCTGGTAAATAATAATGGCACCCTTCGCAGATCATTTTAGGACTTTATCCGTGTTCCAAAGTAAGGTCTTTTTAGCTCAAGACCCCCACAGATTGTGATTGACAGTGTCACACAAGGGTCTCCCTGACACTTGGTATTGTGGGAAAGGCTACTCTTCTTATTTATTCCTCTGGACACATGGTGGGGGAAACACCACACCTTATTTAGTCTTCATACATACGGAGGTGAACTACTGGTGAGTCACTGGTCAGATGCATACCTGTCTCATGTTCTGGCACTTCTGCCTGCATCCTGTACAACCTAGCCTTCTTCTGATGTTTGCCCAGTCGAATCGCTAGTCTTCATCAAATTTATCTACTGTATCTATTTTCTGTGGGTTTTTTTTTCTTTTTCTTAAGCAAAATTGTGCATATGTGTGTACATATATATATATATATTTTTTTTTTTTTTTCAGGTGGAGTTCCCTTACATCCTCAGTCTCCGTTGGCAGCAAAGGAGAGAATTTCACCTGGCATTAGAGGTACCCACAAATTACCCCGGCACAGACCCCTGAATCGAACCCAGTCTGCACCTCTGCCTCAGAGCACGTTGGCTCAGCTGGTCATTCAGCAGCAACACCAGCAATTCTTGGAGAAGCAGAAGCAATACCAGCAGCAGATCCACATGAACAAAGTAAGCCCCCGAGTCAAAAGTCAGGATGTCACAACCACCAGTGGGGAAATTGGGGTTCTCTTCTCTGATCCGGGCACACAAGAGGAATATGTTGGTATCTCTGCATCACCATCAAAAGGAGATTGCCATCCTAGCCCTCGGGGACAGCCTCACAAAATCAGTATTTTCACCATCATTACATTCACAGGATGTTTTTAGCGACATTGAGGTTAGATATTAGTAAGGTCTTTTATGATTGCAGACCTATTTGAATTCAGAAGCCCATACGGGCACATGTATGCAGAGCCCCATTTTTTGGTTTCGTAGAAAAGGCTTGAGGCAGAGTTGAATGTGGTGGATCGACCGCTCAAAAAGTTTTTCGCACAGGTGCAGACAGATATGACAAGGTGAGCCCACAAACTATTTCTCAGCAACTTTTATGTATCCATGTTCTGTTTATTTTTTAGCATGCCCCACTTTATTCTGAGCTGTGTTTGAAGCAATTTCTCAGAAATGTGTGGTAATTTTCTGGCAGCCTTATTGTGGCCAAAACGGAAAGCTGATGTCTGTATCACACCACATCCTTAGGCGTTCTCCTGCTGAGGCAACCACAAAGAAACAGTGATTACAATATAACAATATCAGGCAGGCCAGGCCGGTAAAACATTTTCAGTGAATTCATAAGCAAAGCTAGTCTACGAAGTTTTGACATTACACTCCTCTGTGGTAGGTTTATAAAGCAGTCTTCTCATTCCTGGAAGTGTTATCATCCTGAAGAGCATAATTCTGTCCACTCTCCTTTGTTACTGTATCACCTACAAGTATCTTATAGAGGTATGATTATTAAGAAATGACATTCTGTTTACTGATAGGTAGCTAAAAATTGGCTTACTATTGAAAAGCTTTATTGTATAATGATAGAAACAAAGCAACCCCTCATGGGCAAAGGTCTAATCGTCTTTCTAATAGCAATAAGAGAAAGGGGGTTCTTCGTTGTGTACTCACTTTCTTGAGGGCAGGGCAAAGTTTTTCTCTTCTCTTCGGCCCCCACCTTCACAGGGCAGAGCTAGGAAGGGAGCACGGGCTGAAGACCATACTACTGAACAGAAATCCTTCCAGCCCAGCCCTTTGCTGCCTGCAAAGATGATGTGGGGGTGGGGGAGGGATGGGGAAGTGGGCGCTGGGGATGGAAGGCTGTGGCCACTGCCTTTCCTTCCATCTCTCACTATACTGCACACTGTAGTCCACGATGCTGCATGCTCTTTATGTATCATCAGATTGAGCTGGTATTGCTACAGCATTTCCCTAAATTTATCAAATTATTCTGTATCAAAGCAGTCTCACTGGAGGAGACCCACTTTCTTCTTGTGGAGTGGCCTGGTACTCGTTGACCTGAATGTGGCCCTGCATATGTTTACTATATTATGGTAGAGTTCAGTTTGTTTGTTTTGTGGTCTCTCAGCACTACTTAAAATTACTACGTATTCTTGAAAAATTGTCCAGTGACTAATGCGAAAAATTTATGAAGGAAGAAAGATTGGAAATCCTACTTTTTGCCTCATAATGTTTTGGTTTGGTTTGGTTTGGTTTTTTTGTTTGTTTTTTTAAGAGAGAGAGAGAGCAAGGGAGCATGAGTGGGGAAAGGGCAGAGGGAGAGGGAGAGAGAGAATCTTAAGTAGGCTCCACACCCAGTGCAGAGCCCCATCCAGGGCTCGATCTCACGACCCTGAGATCATGACCTGTGCTGAAATCAAGAGTCAGATGCTGAACTGACTGAGCCACCCGCATACCCTGTTGCCTCATAATATTTTGATCTGGAATTAAGTTCATCAGATTCCTATGAATACTTCTAAGAATATTTTGGAATACATTTTTTATGACCTAGAGATGCCAGTGTTTCAGACTCAGTGGTATACTAATAACAGAATCTTTATATTTTAGTATCACACTTGAGATTTTGACAGGCGGATGCTAACCTCAGTCACATGGAAGAAACCAAGATGAAAAGCAGGCATTTGCATTGAGCAGTGAGAAAAGCAAATCTCATCAGAGACCTTCTCCCATGTGGAGCTGATTCCTTGGAATCTGTTAAGAATTCTTCTCAAAATTAGAAACAAACGTATACTTTCAGGTACATGTTTGTACAGTGGTTTGATTATTAAATCTTGTCTCAATTAGGCAAAATGAAGTCCAGAAAACTTCAAAGTATAAAGCTGATCTTTATATATTAGCCCCTCTCAGCTTGGGTGTTTAGATTACTCAAGCAGGTCTCCAGTTGGCTTTTCTCCAAGTATGTATTCCATATGTTTGATCCAATGGTACATGCACATTGGGTATTCTCCAGATTTTGAAAATATTTCACCTGCCCTCAATTGTCTAAAGGAACAGAGAAGAATCTACTAAAGAAAATATTGAATCTCTGTCCTATTCTGAAGTATTCACAATAGAACCGTCAAGAAATGAATTGCTACTGCTCACCCTTCCCCATGAGGTGATGAAAACATTTGTTTCACGTTATGTGAGGGCCATAACTTAGATGCCAGAAACCAATGAGTTTCTGTATAATCATCTATTTATGTACACTGTAACCATTTTGAATATCCATTAATGAGAAATAACCGCAGAAACTTTCATTTATGTCATTTTTTTCTTGGTATAACGGATGAATCTCTATCGAATCATTTCAAACTAGAGCCAAATAGCTGGTATCATAAAAACATGGTCCCTGCTCTTGAGCGAGTTATTATAGCAGGAAATATATGCTCACATAGAGACACAGGTATACAGATAACATATTTGAAAATGTCCTTTCATTTTGCTCCCTCAGCTTTTTTTATGGTTCTTTTTTAAGATTTAGAGAAGCAAAAAATGCAGTGACAATGAAGGAAAAAACAAGTAGATTTATCCCTAAACCTACATCCTATGAAATATGGTTGTCCTTCCTGCTATGAAATTTTTAATGATTTGATTGAATTGCTAATAATCCTTACAAGAATTAAAAGCAAAGCTGTACTTTTCAGAGCAGAGTTTATACAAGAATTGACTTAACTAAATTTTGAAAACTTTCTCATATCTTGCTATTATTTGAATGCATTTATGAAAGCAGTCATTCCTGCTTATTGTAACTCTACAATATAAATATTATTTACCATACTAAATAATTTACCTACCCATTGCTTATTACTTTAATGACATTTACATGGGAAATTTGTGTGTCATAAGAGTTATTTTGTCTCATACAGTTAGGTTGTAAGTCCTTAATAGCTTTGCAGAAATATCCCTGGAATGGGTTTACATAGTATTTGTATTGTTATATCTACACAGTGGGGCAAGCTAGAAAGGTGAGTGGAAAACCTGTTAGAATGATTTGTCTCTCTGCTCCATCAGTTTGAATATTCGATTTTCACTGAAAGTATTTTGAGAAGTTTAGCCATAAGAAAGTCATGGCTTGCATTATTTGTTCTTTTGCTTTTTTGAGACATTTAAAATATTCAGAAATGCATTAAACAATTTCTGTTGCTAACGTATGGTACATTCTTGCAGTGATGACTTGTGAGCCTTTTCAAAAAAACCCAAGAGTTTATTTATACTAGCATCAAAAGAAGATTGTTGCTTTTCCTGGTTATCCTTTTTTTTTTTTTTATTGGAAGATGAAATGGTTTCTAAAGTAGAATTTTCCCCATAAATACAAAATGGCAAATGAAAAAGTAAGAGGGTATTGGGAATTTTCTTCTGGGCTCATTTTAAGTTTAAATATTGCAACAGATTTTCTGGTAAAATAAGACTATGATTAATGAAAGCAAAACACATGGCAGTTTCTCGACCATTTTTATGATTTTTGAAGAAGTATTCCAAGCACTGCATAGTTAATAGAAGGGCAAATCTCTAGTTGTATCACTATCTGAATGATATTACAGAAATTTTCCTGAGTGTCTTCATACATTCTTGTTGTGAGATAATTTCACATGGACCTCTGCCCCCTACCCAATGACAACATTATTCTTTAAATTATTTGTTATAGTATTAATAGAATAGCACTGATGCACACTAAATAATTTCTATTTTAACTAGAATTTTTCTAGTACCTATGTTTTTCGTATTCATTCTATCAAATCCACATGAGCAGAAATTTTAAGAAACTTCTTCAGTACTTATTTGAATGAAATACTTATTTATTATGCATTTATCCATTTAGCAACTCATTGAATTCTTGCTTTGTGCAGACGCTATCTTAGGCACTAAGAAAATAACATTCAGTGTCCTCATGGAGCTTACAGTGTGGGGAGCAGGGGAGTGAAATATTCAGTAAACAGTAATACAACATAATGTATTAAGTACTAGGATAGGGAACATGAGGAAGGAAATTGTTTTCTTTGAGGAAGTTAAGACTTGAGACTTGTTTAGTTACCTCTCTGGGTTATCTTGTCCTTTTTATATCTTCCTTTTTTCCTCCCTCCTTCCCTCCCTCCTTCCTGCTCTTTCTCTCTTTCTCTTTTTCTTTCTTTTCTTTCTTCCTTCCTTTCTTTCTTTCTTTCTTTCTTTCTTTCTTTCTTTCTTTCTTTCTTTCTTTCTTTCTTTCTTTCTTTCTTTCTTTCTTTCTCCCTTTGTAATATGCTCTGTGATAAATATCTTATGCATTCCTTTGACTGGATACTAGCCAACACTTTTTTTAAAAACCCACATAAATCATGCGATGATATCTTATATATGTCAAGGTTCACTGTAGATATAAGTATTTATTATATATTTATTACTATGATACTTAGGCATTTTGACATGAGTGCTATTTTATCATAATAAAAATATATCTAAGATGAGATTAGTAAAGGGGAGGGGGCAAGCAGATGTCCTGCATTGCCCTTAATAAAACAGGTAGATATGTCTGACAAGCAAGGCATGAATATAATTCTGCTCAAATGCTGGAATGGAGCAAATGGGGGGTTTTCATTAGTTTTTGGAAGATAATTTGACCCCTTTACTTGAGTAGTATCTATTCTTTTTCTTGAGATAATTTTCTAACA